ACTTCTAGCCTTTTGCATGTGAAGGAAAACTGGGTCCCAGTGGTCATAGGAAGCCCTCAGACAAGGAAATGAAAATACTGGTAGTTGAAGTTCTGGCCAAAGTACACCGATATGGTAAGATCAAGAATTATGAGTGGGAATTGGATAGAATCTGCTGTGTTTACGTCTTGTATCATTCAGATCCACTCATGTCCTGTTACTGATTCTTCAGGATGGCAGGAGCCTGTCTAATTGCTTAATTTTTTTTTTTTTAAATCAAGAAGATTCCATTTTTCTTTGAAGTAATCAAGCCTAAATTTTTTGAGAAAACAATAAAACCTCCCCCAAAGGGTGATTACCTCTGCTTCTTCTCATTTTGTCTTTCCTAAGGATGCCTGAGAGAACACAAGAAACACAGACCATTAGGTCACCTAGTGGGTGGGACCCAGTAAAATCCCTTTGACTGGAATATGGTTTTACTTAAATTCCTAGAGGCTGACCAGTCATTTTAGATGTCTATTTAGACCTTACTGAAGCCAGTATGTTTTTTTGTTTTTTTTTGTTGTTGTTGTTGTTTTTTAACCTCCCTGGAGTTTATCCCATGCCAGAGAATGATAAAGGCTGGGAAAGCAGAGCCTAGACCAGGAAAGAGACTGCGTGTGCCTTGAGATCCTTTCTGTGTGGACTCATCCTCTAAGGTTCCTGCATAAACTTCCTCCCACAGGACCCCTTTCCTCGAGGAATAAAGGGGGAAATTGGGCAATTAACCCAAGTTTGATGGGTATCTTTAACTGGAAATTATAATTTCTGGTCCCTACCCCCAAGGGTTCTCTCCCTATACCATTTGGTTCATAGATCTGCAGCTGGTAAACAGATGTTAGAGTCAGCTTTTAGCATTTCCTCTTGATGCTGTCCAAATGTCTAGTGCCTTGGAAACTAGTCTTATGTCTCTTAAAGAGAAGCTCAGGACACATTCACTCACCAAACACTGCATCATAAATGCAGGCAAGGTCAGTATTGCGATGGAATGGGTTTTTCTTTCTTTCTTTTTTTTTCCTTGGCTACATGAGTTTTTATGAAGAGATAAAATAGGAAGATTCAGGAAGAAGATTTTGGCATAGGGAGAAAAGACAAAATTTAAAGAAAAACAGAGAGAGAGAAGAGAAAGATGGTATGACAAAAGAAGGGAGATACAAAGGCAGAGAGTGAAAACTGAGAGGGAAGGAGAAAATGAAAGAAAGATAATGGGAAGACAGACAGGAAAAGAGAAAGAGGAAGAAATAGTGATAAGTAGACCAAGAGATGGGAGCTCTGGTGGCATAGTGCCTAAGGCATTTGACTGCTAACCGGAAGGTTGGTGGTTCAAACCTATCAGCCACACCCCAAAAGGAAGGTTGGGCAATCTACTTCCATAGTGATACCGCCTCGGAAACCCAAGGAGGGGTGAATATGAGTCGTGTCTGACTCGATGGCAGTGAGTGAGACCAAGAGATAGAGACAGAGATACAAGGAAGCAAAGTCTTTCAGTAGCAATTTACTTTTGTCATGAATCCTAACTTAGAAAACTGAATTTGAACAGTGCCCAATTCAGGCATTCCAAATCCTTTCAGATGCTTGAGCCAGAGATTTCATGAAGGCCTCCCACACTCCCACCAACTACAAAAATTACCTAAATACCAACATTAGGGTTTTTTTTTTTTTTTTTTTTTTCAGTTGATGATAAGCTGCATTGCTCTGTGTTTAGTAGGACAACAGTCTACCACAGTGCCATAGTGATGGTAGGTTTCAAGAGTCCAGTTGCTGAAAGAATGCATGTGCTTTCCAAATACCTGAGTGTGTGAGAATTGTTCAAACCTATTCCTACCTCTGAAACAGTATGAGGGTATTGGAAGTTGGGAAGAAGGGTTGGATAAGAGGGACCAGTGAATGGAGGAGGATGGAGGAGGCTGGGCTCAGTGTTAACAGTCACTTTTACATTTTGCTGAATATACACCTTGATCCCATGCTAATGAAAGTAGAACTTTATTATTCATAGAGATGACTGTCAGTTACCCTCCTGACTTTGGCTTGGAATTCTGGTTAGCTGAGGGTGGTCTGGCACTTGGCTACCTCGTAAACCATCCAGCTCTTCACTAAATAGTTTTCAGCTTCTGATTATCAGAATGCAAGCTACTACTATGAGAACAAGCCTCTCTCCTGAATTTTCTGTTCAGTTTACTTCTCTCATACCTGCCTAAGTCATTACGGTCTCAGTACAATGATGGATTTTCTTTTTCCTCTGGGTTTATATGTTCCCTATTTTGTTGTTTCTTGCTCACCATCCTGATGTTTGCCAGCAATTAATTTCTAATCCCTCTTCCATACATTTCTCCATATTAAAACCCAGAATCCAGCAAAGAAACTTATGTGATTCATTTCCTCCTGGGTGTAAAAGAATGTAAATTCCTCTGCTCCCTCCCTGGATAGATTTGCATTTTTTTTTAAAGTTATGGGAAGAGAGGAACCATCATTTATTGACACTAGTGTATATGCAAGAAAAGTACTAAAAACCCAAACCAAACTCACTGCCATCAAGTCGATTCTAACTAATAGTGACCCCCTTTGGGTTTTCAAGGTGGTAAATCTTTACAGAAGTAGACTGTCCAGTCTTCCTTCTGTGGAGTGGCTGGTGGGTTTGAACTGCCAACCTCCTGGTTAGCAGTCAAATGCCTTAGGCACTATGCAACCAGAACTCCTTAAGAAAAGCACTAGGTACTCTGCATAAGTCACTTGTTTCTTCTTTACAATAACCGTAAGGGTCATAATTACTTGTTTAAAGGGCCTTATCTTTCTGAAATTTATAAGGGTTCAGAAACCTGCCATGGGACAAAAATGCCATCATCAAGCTAGGATTGTGAACCAAGTCTATTCATGCCAAAGACTTCAGCTTTTTCCATATAGTCTCACACTGCCTCTGAAGAGAGAGATTTGGGAATGCCTCACTTGTTTGGTATCACCAAGAAAAGGAAGAAATTTGAATCTAGCACTTTTAAAACACTGTTTACTGACCAGTCTCAATACTTATGTTAGGCTGAGGATGACTTTGAATAATTGGTATGAGGTGTATCCATGTAGATTAAAAACCAGAGTATTTAAAACTGCCATTGATCTGAATGGCAGGTTTTAAATACTCTGGTTTTTAATCTACGTGGATACACCTCGTACCAATTTATTTAAAACCTGCCATTGACCTGAATCAGCATCACAATAAATGGAGAGAAGATTGAGGTTGTCAAGGAATTCACGTTGCTTGGCTCTACAATCAATGCCAACGGAAGCAGCAGTCAAGACATTAGACAACGTGTAGCATTGGGAAAGTCAACTGCGAAGGAACTGTTTCAAGTGCTGAGGAGCAAGGATATCTCCTTGAGGACTAA